CGGGGGGGAGCGCTCCAAGCAGGGGAGGGGGAAGAAGCGGCTGACGCTCGCTGCCCTCCTCTACCTCCTCTTCATGACGGGGGAGCTCATAGGTGAGTGGGGGGCAGCTTTTTGCCGTCTCCCCGGCCCGGGCGCTCCGGCCGTGGCTGTAAATATTTGCTAAGAGAAACCGTTTGTCATTTAGAGAGATCAGAGAGATTAGCTGCAAGTTCAGAGAGTGAGAAGGAGCACAGTCCACCTGTATTTTCCATGCAAGAAAGAAAGAGGAATTTGCAGCTTCCCTTACCCGAATCTCATCAGTCCCCCCAAATGGCATAAAATACACACTTTTTTGGTATGTCTAATGGCTTTTTATTTCTCCTGTTTTGTAAGTTTGTAAGGTGTTTTTAGCAAGGGAGAAATTGCATTTTGTTGCATACATAAATATAATAGGATGGATAATTTTATCCTCAGTATTTTTTAATTACTGCCATAAGATCTCACTGTGTTTGCAACAAGAGAAGAAGAGGGAAATACAGTTTTTAAGCGTGACATTTACCATAATAATAACAAAACTAGTCTTGGGGGGTATTTGTCCCTGTTCACCAGATACAGCAATACGCTCTGTTACTTACAACTGAAAAGACAAATCCTGAGCTATCAGTAACAACCCAGCGAAGAAGCCACTCTCTTGACGGCTTCCTGATGTCCTACTGTGCTCTGGACTAGCATGTGCAAAATAATAGGTACTTTGCCGCTTCCCATTACAACACTTAAGAATACGAAGTAGTTTGATTAAATTCTTTGTGCTTTTTGTTTGTTAGTACTTGGCAGAAGTAAGGACGGTGGGTTTTTACCTGGAAGTTTGTTCCTACATAAGCATCTGATTGTTTTTGGTTAGAAGAATGGATCTGGTGCCCAAGTTCAGCTTTGATTACTCCCTCATAGAGGCATGCTATCATTTGCTGTTCAGGTTGAAGAGACCCTGTGCATTACACAGCTGTCTCTACAAAATGTCAGTGCTTTATTTAATAGGCTATAGTGGCATAGGCTTGAAATAAAATTAAATTTGAAGGTCCCTTGGATGCATAGATAAACTATTAAGTGTTATGCCTCTGCCATTATCTAATAATTTTTGCAAAGCATAGTATTTATCTTTTAATCTCTGTTCACTTATCAATTTAATATCAGTGTCCTGTTACCATCTGTCTTTGGGATACGTCCATGCCGTTCGGGGCAAGTGTCTGCGTGGTGCTACTCAGCCTCCTGAAGAATGCTTAAACTCCCTCATCCACTTTCCCCTGGTCTGAAGTAGTGGGGAGCGTTACGCAGTGCCAGGACACTGATGTGTACGTTGAGCCAGGTCTCTCTAGCAGCTATTACAATTAGTTGCTTTTAAATTGCTTTCATTTTAACATACAAGTCTAAATCAGAGCTAATCGGATGAATTATTGGCCATAATTCACCAGAAAAAAAAAAATGAAGTCACAGAAGCTTTCTGGAAGTAAAGAACAGAGATGCCTCAGGTATGGTAACATGGGACCTACATCTTCCTCCTCACCTGCGCAAATTTGGTCAGCAACAACTGAAGATCTGATGTGTGCTTGTGTGAAGTGAGCTCATGCTCTTGGATCGCTTGTCCTAGGACAGCTGTGAATTGTATCTGTAAGACAGAAACTTCTACAAGATGGATAGGGAGCAAAATCATTGCTTGAGTATAAATAATACAGTTTGTCCCACGTACATAGAAAAAAATCCCTAGGAGAAATGGTCCGTTTCTCAGAGAGAGACCAGAGTACTGACTGTATCTGCACCAGTTTTATTTGGGGCCTTATTCTAGGAACGTGGGTTAATGGAAAAAAGTGGTTTTGTCCCTCAACGTCTCTCAGTGTGTGGTTGGTCATTAATAGCGCTGCCACAATACGTTGGCTCATCACGGTTAAGACACTTTGCATCAAACCTGTTGCAGGGGTCTGGTTGAATGCCTCCATTTGCCCCCTGGCTCCGTTTTTTTTTCTCTGGCTGCGATTTTGGTTCAGCATGAACTGAGGTAAATTTGATAAGCGACATAGTGTTATATCTCAGACCTAGACATCCTTTAACATGAGAGTGATTTTTTTTTTATTGTATTCATATCAGAGTTCTGATATATGCTGAATTTAGTTCATCTGAAGGCCCCCTTACTGAATAATATGTCTGAGCTGTTGGCAGCTTCATGCTCAAGTCACTAAGAGTGTATCTGTTGGGGGCTTTGGATCCAATTCACGCTATTGTAGACCTCTCCACAGCTAGTGCAGGGAGAGCTATAGAAATAATAGGTGTTGAGAGTAAAAATACTCTCATCACTGTCACATCATCTGTTGTTTCTCCCTTACAGCCAGGACTCCTGCAAGCTGAGCTCAGGGTGGCGGATTTGTCTGTACAAAGCATTAGTGCTGTAGTGTGGGCTCATCCTCCTTGGGTTTATGTGTGCTATTACCAGCCCTGTTTCATTATTTGGGCACCGAGGCAGACAGCGCTAAGGGCCAGACCCATAAAATATTCAGGCATCCAGCTTCCACAGAGAGTAAGTAGAGGGCTTGGGTGTCTCTGTACTTTTGTGGTTCTTGACCTGAATGACTTGTCATAGGGCAAGTCTTCGGCAGCAGAACGAGTAGTTAAAGACGGAGCCCTCAAGCCCTGGGTCAGTGCCCTACCTGTTCCATTTATTTCCCTCCAGCCCTGTGTTGTGTTCTGTCTGGTTGGTTTCAAATTTTGGAACTTTTTGAATTGATCTGTAGCTCAGGTATTTGGGAAACTTTGTTTGATCGTATAGGACATTTAACTGACTTCTTTCCATGATCTTTGACAGATTTGAGTTTCTGAGAAAAAGGCAGAAGACCCTATCAGACAATTAAATTGTTCAGTAAAAATCTTTCTGCTGTCTGTTACCGATGTCAAGATGAAGGAAAGCTCATTACCCCAGCCCACCTCAGTGTTGCTTAATTTGATGAACAGTCATTGCAAAAGTCAGATAACAACTTACACTTTGTGGGAACCATTTTGCATCAAGAAACAAAAAACATATTGCAAGTCCTAGTTAGCTTTTCTGACAGGCTTATGACGTTTTCAGCTATGTTTAGAGATTTCTAATTGATCGTCCATGAGGAGGACTGCTGTCCTTCACGGGTCACTGAAAATAGTGGTGAGCCATCAAGCTGTCTATTTGTAAAGGTTATAGATGTCTTTTTTTCCAAGTTGCCAATCGTGTTTAAACAGCCCTTAAGCAGTAGCTTTAACCAAGCAATGAACCGATACATTTGGAAACAGAGCACCTTTGATTTCAGAATTTCATAAATCTCAATTATGTTTTCTTAATCCACATGCTGCACTACGGTTAGCTTCAATACCTGAATTCCTTCTTTATAATTTTATTTTTAAAGTCTTTAAAAGCGAGAGACGAGCTGAAATAGAATTGACTCATCTTGGACTGAAGTGATTCTCAAAATTATTACACAAGAATTAACATACATACTTTAAATGATCACACATGTAAATTACTGAATTGAATGTCCGTAGATATAAATCGTTGTTTCTTCTGTGATGACTATAAGAGGCTGAGTTGCGCATTTCTAAGTCATATTTTTTAAAATTATGTGAGAACACAAAGTAACTCAGAAAGGAAAGGCATAACTCATTTTACTCAAAAAGCTGCTGCATTGCTAAATCTTAAAAACTCATTATTTTTGAGCTGTGATGGCCTTTGGAAAATTTCAGCCTCAGAAGAATTTGACTTAGGAACTTACGAACAACTGAAGAAGGGGGGATGGAGGAAAGGAACTGGTTGAAATGTGGGGTGTTTGGTAGTTACCCACAGTACAAGCAATACGGCAGTATCATCAGCCATGCTGCTTGTGTTTGGCTGGGAGGAGAGTGCAGCTCTGTCCGCAGGTGTGTACATACTAACACCCACAGCCAGAGGCTTTATGACTAGTCTTGAAAGCAATCAGTCAGTTGTGAATTCCCCTTTGCTATTTCCTCATGGTCAGCCTCTTCACTAAGACAGTTTTGATTGTATACGAAGATACCTTTACTGGAAACGTTAGTTGGAGCCTCAGGCCTGCCACATGGCACACCAGCTGCATGCTTTGCTCAGTAGAATTTAGAGGCTGAATGACAATCTCAAGGTAAAAAGAGAAACTAAATGAGAGGTGAGCTGACACTAAAGATGTGATCTTTTCTGAGAAAATGGGCTTACCTTCATGCATATGTAAGATAGCTCAGCCTGTCCTTGATTCCCCTTTAGATAAGGGATGCTTAAGAGAGAGGCGCATTGTTTAAATCTCTCACCCATCTAATAGTGGCGTTAGCAATTGAATTGGAACAAAGATATTAACCTTTGATCTGAGGTTATTTGTCTCAATGCAGCTCATAATTCCGAGAAAAAAATTATGGTAATAAATAACAAAGAAAAACTGTGCAAGTGAAAGTAATTGTCTGCAATATATATTGGCAGAACTTATACACCGCTCCCAGGACAGGGAGTAATGAAGGTTAGAAGATAATGTAATAAAAATAAAAAAGGGGCAGGGTAAATTTCCCTGCCATTGAGTCATTAGATTTCTGTCCCTGTTCTGTAATGTCAAAATGTTTAACAGACGTAGTTTAATGAAAGGATCAGCTGATTAAACATATATGCAATAATATATAGAGAAAAGAGACAAAACTATTTTGGGCCTGATCTTGCAAACTCTATGATGCAAGTAGTCTCTGTGAGAATAACAGCAGTGAATCCTTTCTATGTTACTCTTAATAGAAAGCGCACTTCACTGCGCTTGTAACTATGGTAGCTTTAAATTATAGCATGGCATTTTGATTGTAATGGCAAACCCCCCCTGTTTAGTGATTATAAGAAGGGCTCTCATGCACTTAATGCACTGTTCTGAAAATCAATAACTGAGCTGTGCCAAGAGGATATTATCTAGAATCATTAATGTCATACGTCCTGACTTTTCCAACTTTTTTTTCAGGTGGATATGTTGCTAACAGTCTAGCAATTATGACAGATGCACTTCATATGTTAACTGACCTTAGCGGTATCATTTTGACCCTGCTTGCTCTCTGGCTGTCTGCAAAATCTCCCACAAAGAGGTTCACTTTTGGATTTCATCGCTTAGGTATGTAGATACCAGCTTTTGCTATTAACAGAGTATTTTAAGCAACAACTGTAAAGATCACCTAATTCTAGAAGAATAGGTAACTAGAAAGAAAGTAGCAACAAACCTGAAAGTTGCTTTACGTTTAACACCATGACTCTAACGTTCTTTCACTGGCCATTGTGGATCTATTACATAGATCGTATTGCCACAAGGGAATGGATAATAAAAAAACAATTTTAAAAATTTTAAACCTCAGCCAAAAGTGAAGTTTGATGGCAGAGTTTCATTCACTGGGAGCAGGATGAGTCTCCCCTAGGAGACTTAGCAGGACTTAGCAGATTCAGAGTTAAATTCTGAATGGTTAATTCATATTCCATCTTAAAGAGGAAGCTTGGGGAATTGGATACATGGTGACATTGTAAATATGACTTCCTACAAATGAACCATGGCCTAAAAAGTTTAACAAGGGTTCAGAGGAGGGAAGCTGTCCCCAGCAAGAAGAAGGGTGGATATGCAGCTGTGTTTCGCAGCCCATCCATACTTACTGGGCTGTTGCATTAGGTCAGGCGCCTGTGCACCTTTGTGCTTTGGAATTGAGGCCGTTGAGCAAGAGACGGACACGTTCTTCGGTCACTCACTGCTGTACCACTATTACTGCTTGTGTGACACACTGAGGAGCTTGTTGGTGCAGGAGCTGTATGTGTTGGTCAGTTGTTGTTCATCACAGACTATTGTCCGTGCCCAGGATGTACAAAGTCCCATTGACTTCAGTAGAATTATGACACTAGAAAAAGGTCCTATTCAATGTGAAAAATGACATCTTAATCCAGAACTAAAGACTTCTGTAGAGCATATTATCAGAGAGCTCTGCCCTGCCAGAAGCCGTGTAAATCAGTATTCCTCTTGCACTCCCCAAATCACGCAAAGCAGAGGTCAAAATGTCCCATGGTTTCCCATAAAATAAGTTACTTAACCTCTGCCTGTTTTAGGTGTCTGTAAAAAGAAGCATAAACAGAATTATGTACTAAACCTCAGAAGGGTATTTTCAGGATTCATTACTTCATGTTTGGAAATGTAATGATGATAAAGGGTGTTTTCACATGACTGCTAACTGGATATAATAATTAATAATATATAGCTGCAGGTCTTGTAGATATTTTACCAAAAGCTTCAACCTTTATTTTTCATGAAATAGATAATTTCTAGTGTCACAGTTTACTACCTCTGCTCTATACATTCTATAGCATATATTTTTCAAGGAACTTCAGAGTCTTGTGTAGTCATTATTTGCAATTCTTATTTTGGCTGTTAGAACAGCAGTAGAATTCAACAACTCCATCACTCCTAGTCATTTGTCATCAGTTAGTCACTAATGCATGAATGCATAACTCTGTATGCTAGCAAAGATCTTTGGGGCTTTAGCAAGAAAGCATTAACAATGCCAGCATTTCCCATTACAAACTTTTCTTTCAAGAAGTTTTAATTTTGCAATAGGAGCTCCCCTAATACTGAAACCTGACCTTGCAGGTATGCCCCTGACATTTGCTCATACTCTCCAGAAGGATGTTTGCTAGCATTTATACATACTTTAACCCTACTTAAAAATAATTTGAGTAGTTTATGTGTCTTGGTAACTTTTCTAAAACTAAGAAGTACATACGTTGATCATGCCATGGCCTAGCTTAAAACAGGAGTTAATCTTAAGAAAAAGAAAAGAAACTTATTTAACCATTAAAATCTTACTCAGTTCTGTAAATTTTGCAGACTTTTCAATTAATTAATTTGAGGGCTCCATAGCACTTCACAAACACAAATCCCTGAGGATTCCTGCCACGTCACTTTCTGTACCTTTTTTTTTTTTTCCGTTTTAGTGCCAAGAAAAATACTGGCCAGACTGATCCACTGGTGGTCCATGGGCCACAACTGGCCCATAGAATTAGTCCATATTGCCCACCATCTTCTCCCTGGGCACCATCTTCTGCCTGGGAGAAGCTACAGGGAACAGCTTCTCAGTTCTGCAGCAATTACTCCTCCTTTTCTGTTGCCCAGTGCCAGTAGGTGGTCAAACGCTAGAACAGGTTGCGAAGTCTCCACAGTTGGAAACACTCAAAACCCAACTGGATGCAGCCCTGGGCAACCTGCTGTAGCTGACCGACCCTGCTTTGAGCAGGACTACACATTTTGCAGGGGTGCCTTTGTACTGCAGCCATTCCGCGCGAGTAGCAGCAGCGCAGCTCTCTCTGTAGGAGGAGGACGACTACAGCCTGGGGGTCAGGGGAAGGGTTTCTGTGGCTGCAATGAGGAAGGGGAAGTGGGTAAAGGCCCTCCAAGAGACCCCCAAACCTTGACCTAGGCTCTGCAAGTACAGAAGATGGGATGGTTCAAAATTACTATACAAAGTTTGTTAAAGTCCCATTTGCGAAATTTATTTGCCTGATTTTAGGCACCCAATCTGAGCGCTGTGGCCTGAGGGCCCAGTTTCACACATCAGTGAATGCTGGCAATGGAGCACAGCTGCTTCTAGGGTATATCCTCGCTGTAACACATTTTTCCAAATAACCTGTATGTAAGAAGCTTGTCAGCAATTAATATGAGCTCAACAATAGCTTGAATTTCATGAGAGAGATGTTAAAACATGACAGAATGTTAAAAATAGGGTACAGATTGAGCATCTGTCACAGAAAAAATGCGGAGCATTTGTTTAAAGCTGGGAATATGTGCAAGAACTATCTCATCGCTGACCTGCTTTGCATTAAGTTTTAAGATAATCTATATGTACAGTAAGCATGAAAACATTCTACCGAACAGTGTTTCTGGTGCTCATTATCACTTTTGTTTGCAGAATGATGAATTTTCAATCTTGTTCCCATAAACATTGCATTGTAAAGACAACAGACGTATTAGTTGTTTAGTCAAATTCCAGAAGGAAATTAGCACTAGTTTTCATTTATTTGAATTCTTTTTGAATACATAATATGTATGCTCCATCTTCACTTTTATTCCATTTTCAGTGGTGAAAAGGAAGCTGACAGATTCAGGAATGGGTTAGAAAAGTGAAGACAAAATAAGAGAAATTGCAGTCATGTCTAAAAAGGATTATATTCTTGAAGCCAAAAATAGTTCCGTTTCACCACCAAGTGGAGATACCTCCTTCTCAGCAAGACACTGAGCAGATTTAAGCATAGATATGGAACCTGGCATTTTTCCATTGCTGCAGAGACAATGTTAGTAATGACAGAATCAGTCAGTCCACTGAGACAGTGCTTAGTTCATTTCAGAAGAAGTGAAAGATCTCAGCACAAATCTACAATGCTGACATGACAATGACTCCGTGAAAGAAACTGCAAGGAAAACACTGGTTTCCGTTGCAGAAAGCATGGAAACCACAATATGTTATTTCTCTGGTAAATGCTAATGTGCTAAGGCTTCACAAATTTTTTAAAAAGCATTCTGGAAAACCTTCTAAGCAATGTATTATTTTTTTTTAAGGCTGTTGCCCTGAATAGTCTGCCTGCTTTGTACAGAACACTATCACTTGCATGGGTATTTCCAGGATTTTTCATGTTGCTCTGAAATCATCTGAGATTGTGACAGTTGCCTTTCAGAGCCTTGTTACTGCCTGGTAATGCTGGTACTCATCCAGGCATTGACACGCTACTGAACAGCTGAAGGCGTTGGTGTGAGTTTCTTCTCCCGTAACGTTAAAAATTCAGTGGATGGATCAAGTGATTTTGGTGATATTAAAATGCTTATATAGTTGCATGTTTTTTACTGTAGTATTCAATAAATAAAATTAACAGTTCTGTGTTAGAAATGACACCTTCTGCAGTAACCAAAGTTGTACAATACACTGACAGATTCAAAGCAGAGGGAGAAGCGAGGCAATTCTCAGATCAGTATTCTTAGAGCTATGATACAGCCAAGAGCAAAATCTTGCCCTTACTGGGGAATAAATCAGGGCAGTATGTGTGGAACAAGGGGGAAGAACAACCATTACAGTTCCAAGTAAATTAATTCCAACTCTGATCTTTCAATTCACACAGGAAGGCTAAGATCCCAGTGATCCATCTGGCAGGTGACAGTAATGAGCATTATGCATAATGATTACAGATTACTCAGGCATGGCTGCAGATTTACATGCAATACAGTGGAGCCAGCATTAAGGCTTTCCCAGTGCTTTTTGTAAAGCCCTGTATTAAGTTGCTTATAACTGAGACGTTCTTAACTGGGCCAGTGTTCTCTCTGTTGGGTATCTTGCCTTTTTTTTTTTTTTTTTTTTTTTATTTTGCTTCGCCCGGGCAACACTTTTCAGAAATAAAAAAAGGGG